TGAGGATTACTTTAACCATTCCAACTAACGTGGCATTGGCAGAACACAGCTTATGGCTTAAAAATTAAAACTTCAAGATCCTGTAGGCTATTTAATTTAATCAAAATTATCATTTTTAGATTAAAAACTTTAAAATTCGGATAATAATTCTTGAGAAATTTTAAAATTGACGGAGATTTTGCGAAGGATTTTAAATTGGGGAGTTTTGGGGGGATTTGCGAAAGTTCCGCTAACGAGGGATGACATGGCAACCCTGGGTATGAATCTCTATGAAACATTTTTTAAATATATCATATAAAATGTTATATTAATTTACATGTCAGACTTTATCTTTGGGTTCCGATAAAGGAACAATAATTTTCTAGAGAGATTTTTTTAAAAATGAGGTTCCTTTAAACAACAATTTAGAAAAATCTTTTTTAAAAATGAACTTGGAAAATTTAATAAAAAAAAAAAATTACTTAGCAAAAATCTTCTTTGATTTTTAAATAATCTAAGAAATCAGTAAAAATTCTTAGTTTCAGTATTTTTTATCTTGATTGGAAAAAATTATAAGCATTTTAGAATATTTGTTATTACCTTTAATAGCATATGCCATATTTTTAAAAGAGATCAGAAAGAAATTGGTTTTATTTTTTATCATATCAGATATAAGTTACTTGCATATTTAATAAACAATAAGTAACAAAAGATGCTTAAAAATATAAGAAAATTTTGTGGTAAATTAATATTGAATGTTATTTTACTTTAAATAAATGCATTTGCAATATATTTATTGTTCCGCGGTAATGCGCTGGCTATAATGACTTCCAGAGATATATTAGCGGTAGAAAATTTACTATAAAACGGGTTCACGATAAATCAGGCGCATATGCAGGAAGTTATTCTGGGGAGGGGATAATAAAATTTTTTAAGAAATATTATTGTTATTTTAAAATATTAAGCGAACATTTATTGACTAATAACTATTTCTAATACACAATTTTAAATTGATGTGAATTATAAAAAAATTATATATATAAACCGGCATATAAAAAACTATAAAATAAATGTGAATTATAAAATATAAAATGAATATTAACCACCATATGAATCACTTAAATGACCCAAAATATAAATTTGAATTTTTTGAGCCTTTAAAATTTATATATTGGAAATATAAATTATACCCAAAAAGTTTCTTAGGAATAATTGTATTTTGTATGTTATATATTTACAATGTAAAATCCAATCTTCGTTGGGATTGAGCTAATTTTTCAATTATCTCATCCTTGCGGCGTTATATGCCTATGAATATTCAAAAGATCCAAACTATTCAATCTACTTTCAGAAGTTGTACTTCTCAGGTATGTTTTTCAGAGACTTGCAGACCCGACCCCCGGGCCGGATCGTATTTTAATTTTTTTAAATATACCGGCTCAAATTTTTTTTTTTAAAAAACCCGGGCTTAGCCTGAAAATTTTTTTAAAAAAAATATCCGGGTTGGGCTCTATATTTTATAACTATTTGAATTCGTAATTATTAGCTAAAAAAATCAAAAATAAATAAATTTATTTTAAAAAAATCAGGGGCGGGACTAAATTTTTTTTTAAGAAAAAACCTTGGCCAGCCGAAAAAATATTTTGAAAAAAAAATCCAGGCCGTGCCCTGCAAATGGTCCCTCTACAGGGCTCTGTTATTCTTTTTAAAAAAGAGAATGTTTTCTCATTAGTTTACAAATAGGAAGAGTTGCTAATATATATAACCATTTTAATACATTGGGAATATAATCTAAAATGTGTTTGAAATAATGCAAAGCATCCATAGCATTTTTTATGACTATATCAACCATAGTTAATTTTTAATCATAGTTATTCAGCTAATCTAACAAATATTAATTTTTTCTATCACCATCTGAAAAAAGTTGGGAAGGCTTTTGTGGAAGTAATATCTGCAGATTGGTAAGTGCTGCATGTTGAATTAAAAACCATTCATTTATTTGGGTTATAAATGTATCTAAGAGGGGGGATATACTCTTCTACTGATCCTATATTAATGTTTTGACGATGAGCCTGCCTTGCTGCAAGTCGAGGGAGACAAATATTAAACACGTATAGCTCTGCTTTTGACTCAACAATAATATATAAAATTCTTCATCAATAGCTCTAATTTCCTTGAGTTTTAATAAAATTCTCTCCGCTATTCTTATCTTCTTAATCAAGTCAATGTCATGTTTTTGAAAAGTATTACATAAAATAGTTGTATAATTAAATAATACATTCTAATGAGAAAAAAAATTTGGAATAAGTATTGAATCCAATAATTTTCTTGCTTCTGAGGAAATATTTCTTTCAAGTCATTGTGATATTTTAGTAATTAGCATTAATAATCGGCTTTTCTAACTTCATAAAAGCTGTTACTGCTTGATGGCGAACTCGATCTCGTTGGACAAGCATGCAATTTCTTTCTCCCTGATGGACAAGGAGTTTCAGAGATAATTATTATTTGACTAGAAATTTAGATATATATTGCGCAACTAGAAATTTGAATATAATAGGTAAATATTATGCCAAGAAATACTTGAAATCGAAATTAATTGGTAAAATAACTTAGTAGATGAATGTGATAAATAAATGTAATTAAATATATATATATGAAATAGGAATAAATATTAACAAATATAAATGAATATAAACAATAATATTTTTGAAAAATAGAATCCGTTTCAGCTTTGGGGGGGGGGGGATTTGTCCCCCTGTCCCCCCCCGCCGCGTACGCGCCTGCTATAAATGTTTTACTATACAATATTTGCGGGGTTTCGCAGAAATAATTCCACAATAATGGATTAGCGATATAAGTTTCGCGATAAAAGTTTTGCTAAATTGACCTGATGCGACTATATTGTATATATAGTTCAAAGTAAAAATTTAGAAAATCTTTTTATGATAAAATTTTACTGGGTTTTATGCTAGCTTGTTGTTTAAAATTTGGTTACGTATGGCTTATTGTTTATTTGGAAATATCATTTTCAATAAAACTCAAGTCATACGTAAACATAGGCGTATTTGGGAGGGGGGGGTGGAATCCCCCTTTAGATCATCATAAACTAATAAAAATTTCCCCCCAACCCGCCCCCCCCCCACCTCCTTTACAAATAATGTATATGCACAAGAATTTAAAAGATAAATTAGTAAAAGTTAATACTTCTCGAAATAATGACTATAATTCAATATTTTAAGTCCCCCCCCCTAGATATTTATTGAGATTTTCTTCTAAAAATAACAATAAATTCACATGATTATCTCAAAAAATTCCTATCAAAATTGAGTAAATTCGTAAAATTTAAATAAATTAATATTTTGAAAAAGCGTATCCTATTCGTACATAATACTTCCACTCCCTCTCCTGAGATTACCTTTCTTTCTAAGTCTCAGTGAAATTTCAATCAACTACGCAATTGTATTCTACCTCCCTCCTCCCCGTTTTGATATACTATTATATTTTCATAATTATAATAGGATTATTCGAATTTTTAAAATATAAATAACGAATATAATCAAATAATCAAAAACTCATTACTAAAATAGTTTATGATAGATAAATAATTTAAAATAAATTATCTAACTGTGCTTATTATAGGAAGGCTATACATTATAAAAATTTTATGAGTGATATTTACATATAAGAGAAGTAAAATTCAGAAGATTTATAGCAAAAAAGGATGTCAAGTTTTAAAAAATATTTAAAAAAATTTTTTAAATATAATTTAGACTTAATATCATAATTATAAAAAGAATTGACATTTGGTGTAATTTAAATAGAATCAATTATAAAAATTCCTATTAAAGATATCGATTATCTTGCAAAGTTATATATAGCAACAATATTTAAGGATGAAAATTAAAAAAAATTAATAGTTTCTTTGCCATTTAAAAAAGAAGTTTTCATATAATATAAATAAATTGAAATATGTTTAATATTCCTAGATGAATGTCTACTTTAAAAATGGCATAATAAGAATTTTCTAATTTATTTTTGTTAGAAAATGGAATAATCTAGCATGGCTAAAAATATTTACATTAAAAAATGTAAGTTAAAAAAACAAAATATCGAGTTTTATTTATTTAGAAAATTGTGAATAAATTGAAGGAAAATTTTTAATGAAAGGAAAGAAATGAATATTTAAAATAATTTTATAGTATTGATTAAGAAAAAATTCAAAACACATTAATCAATTGTTTTCTTATTTTCGCTTATCATTTTCATTCAATGTTACAAATAACACCTAATTTTATGGATAAATAGGGAATTTTTCTTTTTCTGGTCTTAATGAATTATATATTTTTATCATAGCCAGCAGAAGATAGAACTAATCACAATAAATAAAATAATCTCTAAGATAATATTCTCAAATGATGTACACTGTGAGTTAGCAGCTAGAATTAATCACAATAAATAAAATAACTTCTAATAGGATATTCTCATATGATGTGAAGTGTGAGTTAGAGGCGCGTAGTCAGGAATTTTCCAATTTGAGAAGAGAGGAGAAGAGAAGTAGAATTTAGATAAAGATACTGTTTATAAAAATATATTTAGATAAAGATATCACATCTTGTATCTAACTCTGCAAAATATAAAATAATAAATGTGAATAAATTAGAAATCAAATTTAGTTAAACTGTACTGCTTCGATGGTACATATAATAAAATTGGAACGATAAAGCCAAGATTAACAGGTTCCCTGAGCAACCACGTGCAAAAGACAATTTCTATCTAACTATCATATATCATTCTAGAAAGATGTTACGAGCAATGACAACTTTTATATTAAATAAATCAAGATAAGTTCAAACCTCAATATAGATAGTAATCATTTAAGTCTTATATAAAGAATTTAAACTTTAAATCAGTTACCTCCCCCTAAGGCAATTAAATTATAATGTAGTTCTCGGATATAGACTTCTACTTTGCCCAACTCTTTTTATCTCAAACCTAAAATTTTCTGATTGTGCTTATAGTACTTTTCAACAAACATGTAGAGGTCTCCTCATTTTTAATTTATCACCCAACCAGTTAGATAAATTGAGGATACGTAGCGTAGTTTTGTTGAACCTTTAACGATAGAGGGCAAAGTGCATAAATCACGTAATCACATAATTTAAATTATAATTGTCTTGTAAATATTATTTTGTAGAGATTGGTGAGGTATAAAGAGGTTCTTAGCATTGAGTAATGATCCAGTGATGGAAAAGATTATTTCGTTTTTCCTAGCTAAATTAGTAAGTTTACAAAGTTTTAGTAGCTTTTCTCCAAATGATTAGTATATCCTTGGCCGAATAAAATGTGACATTTTTGCTCTAGATTGCTAGTGTTATTATAATCGTTGCTAGGAGGTAATTGTTTTTGTTCATTATCTTCAATTTGAATTTCACTCTCTGCATTTTTAGATGCATAGTTTTGAGTGCCTAATTAAAAATTGCAATGATGTCTCAAAATTCGAATTTAAATATTCTGAAACAATTTTAAGATCCTGAAATCTCGAATCAAGTAGTGTCACTAATATCTAATATGCAAAATATTTTTAAATTTTTATTAATGAAAATATGAAAAAAATTATTATATAAAATAAATCACTTGTCGGAAATTGGATTATGGTCGAGTTTAATTTTCTTTTGGATATATGATATCTGAGCTATCAGTTTCATTGATTTGTATATTTGATTCTAATTCACTACTAAATAAAACCTAAATTAATTGTAAAATCTCTTTTGGCAGGAAAGAAATTCTACAGATCCTTTGTGAATGATAGTGTTGCTAAGTTGCATCAATTTTAAAAAACGACCCGAATAATTTTAGCCAAAAATATAATATAAACCTAGATATTTTACTCATTGGGCTGAAAGGTTTGGACCTCTATTTTCCAAATCTCGAGGTAAGATTTTAATCGGGCCGTTTTTAAAAATCATATAAATACTACTGAATGGATTTAGTATAGGCGTCTCAACTAGATTAGATTTATTTTTGATAGGTTTTATAAATTTTCCTCATTTTATTTAGCAAATTATTTATAGGACTCTTGTTGACACCAAGGATACTTCCAGATAATTAATGTGCGTCCAACGAGTGTGCAAATTAAATTTAAGGTTTTTATATTAATTCGATGTGTTGGTACTTGCTGCAATAATATCTTAAATACTAATAAAATTCATATTTTATTAATTTTAAATTAATTTTAATTTTAAATTTGAAAAATCATAATATAATATAAAAATATAATTAAATTGCATTTAATATTCAAATCAGAGACCTGCAGGCCCGGCCCGGAGTCAATTAGATATGCTTATAATGATTATATATAATTATGATTAATATCATGTTTGGTGAAAGTTAACACTAGCTAACACTCTTAGTATCTATTATATAATATAATTATATTTTCCTGCCATGGAATAAGCAAAGGATTAAATACATTATTATATAATATATGTTATATTTTTTTATTAATTAATATATGATTTTTATTTTTTTTATAAATACAATTAATATAGTATATTCTCAAAATATTATTTACACAAATTTTTTATAGTATCAATTTGTAATATACTAAATATCTGTTTAGAATAAAATAAAATAAAATATGTAGTAGTGTTTTTAAACGGCACGTTTTGAGTCGATTTTTAAAAACGGCTAACTAATATCCAGAAAAATATTATGCAAGCCTGAAAATTTTGCTCATTAAGACTAAGTTAATGGTAAACAGACTTAGGTGGTATGGGCACACAATGAGAAGGCCTATGAACTACATGGGAAATAAAGTTGAAAGATTGGAAGTAATGGGCAAACGTAAAAGAGGAAGGCCAAAACTTCAATGGGGCCATAAAGTTAGAGCCAATATAAAGAAGTATAAAATAGATAAAAGAGATTGTACGAATAACATAAAGTGGAGAGAGATGTTAAAGGAGCTTACCACCAGAAAAGGTGAAAGCTAAAGAGAAAAAAAAATAAAATAAAAAAAATAAAAAAAAAATAAAAAAAAAAAAAAAAATAAAAAAAAAAATAAGGAGCAAAGGTCTAGACATATAGCATCAAAATTTCGAGGCTTAGTCAATATTTTTCTGGCGAAAATATTGAGTTATCCGTTTTTAAAAATCGGCTCAGAACGAGCCGTTTAATAACATTAGCTAATATGTTTGCTTATTAATGATAATATTCGCCGAAAAATATTGAGTTATGCGTTTTTAAAAATCGGCTCAGAATGAGCCGTTTAACAACATTAGCTAATATGTTTGCTTATTAATGATAATATTCGCCGAAAAATATGATAAAATACCAAATAGATGAATTTTTTTATATACCAGGTCGAATATTATTTTAAAAAATTCCGAGCCGGGCCTAAAAAAATTTTTTTTTTTAAATCCAGCCGGACCTAAAATATTTAAACTCGAGCCGGGCCAGACCGAAAATTTTTTAATCCTAGCCGGGCCGTGCAAATGGTACCTCTGCAGGTCTCTGATACAAATATAATTAAATTCAATTTAAAAAATTTTAGGTGTATCGACGGCATTTCTGGCTGAAAAAAGATGCTAGCGGGGCAGGGTCTAAATATATCCAGTAATATAATTATATGGGTTGTTTATCATAAGAAAAGAGATCAGAATTTAATTAATAGAGTAACTTAATAATTTACTCCTGCAGCGTTTGCACTTTACCTAGACAACCTATAAATATCATGGAATTAATGACTAAGATGATTTAAAAAGTAGAAATATCATCATTGCGATTGGATTAATTTTTCAATAAGGTTTCCTATACCAGGAGTCAAATTTTCATCTATAAACTAATCCATTTAATCGATTTTCTAATATCGTACTTTTGAGATAGTTTATATTCTCGGTAATGAAGAAAATTTGTGCATGTGCTAATTGGCATTTTTTGCCAAATTATATAGTTATTTTTATATAATTTGAGAAAATATAATTTTATAGTATGTCATGGTCATTTCTTGGAAAATTATCCCTGGAAATGATCTTTCATACCAAGATTTAAATTTTGAGATAAATTGGGGTTAAAATTTTCTGTGAATAATTTGCATTTTTTTTTACTCTTAAGGGGAGGAAGTGATGGGTTGACTATGCTCCTAGCGAAATTTCTAGTAACCAATTTACTCAAATAAAAATTATAACATTGTTTTGGTTAAAACATATTTATTAATTATTTTAAAATAATAAAAATAGCAAGTGAGATGTTTCTAAAATTCGATATTTAATAAAATGAATGATTAAAATTTAAGTTGAAAAGGTTTTTATAAATACCTTTTCAATGTAGAGATTTTCTAAGAAAAAAAAAATATTTTTGATTAATTATGTCATTTAAAATAAATTTAAAAAATATGGTTAAATTGAAAATAAGGAGAGGAATATTTTGACGGGTTGAAAAAATAAGAGCCGGCTTAGTTAGTAATATAAATAAAATGAAAGACAATTCCAGCAAGATTACAATTTTTATATATACTTAGAATAATAATAAAAATTTTAAATAAAAATAAGAAATAGAGTAGGATCAACACGAGGGAATAAAAAAATATCGCTATAATAATATTAAGAGTTTATTGCACTTAATACACTATAAAAAATTTATATTCTGTTCATAATCTACCAAATAGTTTTTTTTAGATGAGGGAAAAGTAGATATAGTTATAAAATTATATCTTAGGTAATATTGTCGCTGGATTATTAAAGTTACAAATTTAATGTTTTGACATAATAATCAAACAGTTTTAAAATTTTCTTTAGTACGCTATTAATTTTATGGCTATAAAATTTTGAAAATGACACTTGTAGCAAATATACAAGCAATAATCCAGTGACGTTATTAGGCTAAAGGGCATCGCAAGATTTATGAAAGTTATAAAGATATTCAGCTAAAGCAGGCATTAATTTATTTTAAATTTACTTCAAATATTGATGAAAACAAGAATTTTGAATAATTAGAAAACGAAATGTATATAATATTTTTATAAAAAATAAATTATAATTAAAATTTATTTGAATTTATGAGAAAAAATGATGGTAAAAAATTAATTTATATTATATACTTACAGTATGAGATGATAAGACAGCTGTTTCCATCCCCTTGGTCTTTCTAGAAAATTATAAATGCCAGTTTGAAATCGGCGATATTTAAAGTCATTTTTGCCTAATTTATTATTAGCTAATGGGCGACCTAATAAACTTAATTTAGGTTGGTCAAAACGATGACAATAATTATAAAATAATTTTGATTTTGATTCCTCGGTCCCTTGATCATTTTTAGAATTAGAATAATGATGTTTAAATAAAGATTCTACGTGATTCTTGCTTTTATCCAAAATGTTTTTATCTTTACCATATGTACGTTTGCCAATAGAATTAGATCGATTTTGATCGTTTTCCTTTAAAGGGAAATCGATGATATTATTATTTTTTATATATTCCTTTTGGATATCACATCTATCCTCAATATTTAATTTATTTTTGATATGCTGTGAATTGTGTAGTATCCGGTTATAGAATTTAATCATCAACAAAATAAGCGATAATAGTATTTTGACGAATTTTATTTCTTGCACAACTCGAACATTCTCATCCTAATATACTATTAAAATATTTTTATTTTACTTTTTGGAATATATTAATATGGGTGGGGATTCACCATAATATAATATGGTCAAGTATACGATACTCATCCAAAATATGTCTAACGCGGCTTGTTATTAATAAATAAGTTATAAAACCGGTCTTTAAAAAAATTAGTAAAATTGGTTTGAATACAGGCGAAATTAAAATATTTATAATGTTCATCTGGCATTAGTAAAATTACATTATGATTACATTATGATTACATTAAATAAATTAAAAAATATTGAACGTTTAAAAATCTTTTATTTTAATGGTAGGTAAAAATATAATAAAGATTGATAAATTATAAATGCTTTATCATAATGATCCTTATAAAGAGTACATTTGAGAAAAATAGAAATAACCTCAAAAAATATTAATGATGCTGGAGGATAAAATGAATTAATCAAATCGAA